GGTCAGCAGGGAGGGGGTGGGATAGGGTGGAGCCGGGGCTGGGCGGAGCCGACTCAGACATAAAAGCCGAGGCACTGACCAGCTTGCAAACTGGACATTAGCTTCTCCTGAGAGAGACTTCCAGCCTCCTCCTCTTCCTCCTCCAGCTTCGGCGAGCCCTGTCCAGAAGCAGGTAACAGGCCTGTGGAAGAGGCCCTGCTGCCATCCTGCTCTGCCTGCTTGGCGGCCCAGGGTACTGCCCAGCCTCAGGCCTGGGCCCTGCAGCGGGCCTGCTGCTCTCACAGGCCCTCCTCTCCCCAGCCTCTGCCCTGCGCTCCCACCTGTTTCCCTGCCTCCTCACCTGCTCCTTTCCCTTCCTTCCTTCCCCTCTGCTTCCCTTCTCCAACAACTTTTGGGCTTTTCCCCCCCCCTGGCCCTCACCTGTCTAGCACCTCCACATGCCTCTTGGCCAGTCCCCTGCTTTCTGCTGATACCCTGGGCTGGACCTGGATCTAGAGTGGTCGGGTGTGCGGAGGGGTCTTCACGGGCAGCAGGTTGGAGCTGCCCCTCGACTCACTGCAGCCGAGTGGCCAGCCACTGTTTGCTGCTAGAATTTAGAAGGGGCGGTAGAGGGAGGCTGGCCGGGGTCCTGTGGAGGAGGTGGGCAAGGTGACTTTTAGATCCTCCTGCAGAACTGGCTAGTGCTCCTCAGGGAGCTTAAAGAGATGGTTTCTTATTTCCCGCTCCGTCCTGCATATGATTTATTGCATCAAGAAACCCCTGGGCCTGCGGAGAGAGGGCTGGGGCTGCCGGCCTGGAGGGCTCCACCTTCCGCAGGGGCAAGGGCAGCTTGCCTGTTTTCCCAGCCTCCCACCAGTAACCCTTGCCCTCAAAGCCTTGGGCTTGGAGGGGGTGTGTCCTGCAATGAGCCGCCCCTTCCAGGTTGGGCCTGGAGGGTCCTGGTGTCTGGCCTCCCAAGTGGCCTGACCCGCTCCCTCCGCTCCCTCCGTGGAGTTTGTATTCCAGTCGGGAGATGCTCTGATGGTTCTGGAGGGACTCGGGTCCCTGGCACTGGGTGGTGTGAGTAGAGACCTGGAAAGGGGATTTTTGGCTTTCTCGTGAGTTTGGGGGCACCCGTGACGGGCTGCATTTGGGCTGTGTGATCTGAGAGCAGTGCTCTCTGAGTGTGGGCGGCATGGTGGCTCTAACCATTGGGTCCTTGACCTGAGCTTTGCTAGTGCAGCCTGGAAGGGAGAGGGCAGGAGGGGCTAGCCCAGCACGACCTGCCTGCGGCTAGGGAGGGATGGTCCGCCTGGATCCCCCTGTCCTGCTGGGGGGTGGGGAAGACAGGGACCAGTCAGTCCTCTTGGAGGCACATGCTCCACAGTGGGGTGGAGCCATCTGCCATCTTGGCAGGCCTTGGAAGGGAGCAGTGGTGACGTGACCTTGGGTTGGCCCCACCCCCACAATGTCACAGGAGGGAGGCCAGTGTCCAGCACAGCCCCTGTGGCTGTGGGTGTGGCTCAGCTCCTGCAATTCTGACCACGGTCTGGTGGTCCCCACACAAATTTGCTGCCATTTCCTGCAACTCAGAGCCGTGGAGCGCTTGCGTGGCTCCCAGAATCTCTCCCTTTTCCAGGCGGCCTAACCCTTCAAGCATGTGTGTTGTTTTTGAAATTAAAATAATGGCATCAAGAAAGCTGGGCTTTTGGATTTCAATGACTTTCAGATTAAGGAGGGGGGGCACCTCTGGCGGGGAGGGGCCTGGACCCCGGGTGTGGCCGGCGCTCACTGTGGTTTCTCCCGCAGATACCAATGGGGATCCCAATGGGGAAGTCGATGCTGGTGCTTCTCACCTTCTTGGCCTTCGCCTCGTGCTGCATTGCTGCTTACCGCCCCAGTGAGACCCTGTGTGGCGGGGAGCTGGTGGATACCCTCCAGTTTGTCTGTGGGGACCGCGGCTTTTACTTCAGTAAGTAGCTCGAAGGGGTGGGGCGGGTGGGGGGTGTCCACAGCAGGCACTTAATCAGTCCATGGGATACAGCCCCCTCCCCCTGGCCTGAGATGGAGGGGCCCCCGCCCTGACTCTGGCCCCTCTAGCAGGTACTGAGCCACAGTGCAAGCAGGGGCCCCCCTGGGGAAGGTGGCTGGGGGTCCAGGCTCATGCGGGGAATGGGGGCGCTTGCCTTTTTCCCTGCACCATTTTAATGGGGCACATGTGCTTGTGGATGATCAGATGTCAAATCTGACAGATTTCAAATCAATAAGAATGAAGCAAACGTGGTTGGGGGCAGGGCTGTTTGTCCTCAGCGTGGGAGTAGGGAAAAGAGCTGCACTCCCGGGGACACTGGGGCTCTAGGGCTGCGCTGTGGGGTGCCCACCTGCCTTGACTACTGCTCACTCATGCTTCTCTCTCTTCATTTTCCAGCCTTGGGGAACTGGGGGACACTTGGGTGGGGCTGGAGGGGAGGGGCCTCAGGAATGTGACTCCTCTTGCCGGCATGGACTGCCTGTCTACCCCCTGGCACTGGCCAGGTGGTCTCTTCCTCTGCAGCCTCTACTTACCTACTTGTGAAACGGGCTCACAGAATGTACCTGCATTTCAAAGCTTCTCTCTGAAAGGCGCTGCTGCTGCTGGATACCCTTGAAGCCCCTGCTGCCTGGCCCCTCTCTTGCGCTCCCTCTCGCCTGCCTCCTTGGGGGGGCAGGATGTGGCACTGCGGGGGGCCTTGGTCCTTGCTCTGGGAGTTGCTTCCCTGCACTGGGCTTTCCTAAGCAGAGAGCTGGGCCGAGCCCCTCGTGGGTCCCCGAGATGGGGCTCCCTGTCCCTACCCCCACAGATGACGCCTGCCCTTTGGCGCTCCAAGGTGAAGTCCCCAGCGAGCCTCGGACCTGAGTGCCGTGGGGGAGAGGGGGAAGACGGGAGATGAGAAGAGAGCGGTTATGCGGCTCCTCACTCCTCCCCTCCCGTCTTGTTCTCTCCTGCCCGATCCTCCTGGTCTCAGCGCTTGGGGGACTCCAGGCTCTGAGGCCAAGCCTGGCCAGAGCCCCGAGACCTGGGGCCACACTCATGTGCACCCTATGGGGCTGTGCCCCTCGCTGGGCTCACACCCCACCCCGTTTTGAAACCACCTGCACGTGGGCTGTGCCTGATTCAGACAGGAGGCAGGAGGCACCAGAGGCCAGGGGCTGGTCCCGCAGCAGCCTCTTTTATCTCTCCTTTCTGGGCTCTTCTTCCTGCCCAACTCTCGCTTTTCTCCCCCCTCCCCGCAGGGTGATGGAATGTCCGGGCCTAGCCTGAGGACAGGGGTGGCTGCCTCTCTCTGCAGCCTTCTCTGGGGGTGGGGGGGGGTTCTGATGGGTGTTAACCTCCACTCTTTGTCCTGTGGGTCTTCCAGGCAGGCCCGCAAGCCGTGTGAACCGCCGCAGCCGTGGCATCGTCGAGGAGTGCTGCTTTCGCAGCTGTGACCTGGCCCTCCTGGAGACCTACTGTGCCACCCCCGCCAAGTCCGAGAGGGACGTGTCTACCTCTACGACCGTGCTTCCGGTGAGCCTGGCACCTCTGCTTACCCAGAGACAGGGACAGGACGTTAGGTATTTGTTTTAGCAGCTGGGACTTTTTAGCCAAGGGACAGGGGTGCAAGGGACAGGGGTGGGGCAGGGGCATGGATAGGTCAGGGGGAGCCAAGTTTGGAGCTGACACCCACCACCAGCCCTTTCCTTCTCAGGACAACTTCCCCAGATACCCCGTGGGCAAGTTTTTCCAATATGACACCTGGAGACAGTCCGCCCAACGCCTGCGCAGAGGCCTGCCTGCCCTCCTGCGTGCCCGCCGGGGTCGCATGCTAGCCAAGGAGCTTGAAGCGTTCAGAGAGGCCAAGCGTCACCGTCCCTTGATCGCCATGTCCTCCAAAGATCCGGCCCACGGGGGTGCCTCTTCGGAGATGTCCAGCAATCAGAAGTGAGCCAAATTGTTGTGATTCTGCAGTGCGTACCATCAGCTCTGTGACCTCCTCTTGACCAGGACATTTCCATCACGTCCCACCACTCAGATCTCTCTGTTCCATTTCTGCCCTAGGGTTTCTCCCACCCAGCCCCCATGCCCCGCCTCCCCACATCAGGCGACTCCTCAGCCCCCCTCCACCGGGCTGAGGGAATGACACCACCTTCAAAAAACAAAACCAATTGGCTTTAAACATCTTCCACAGAGACCCTTCCCCCAGATTATACATCCACAACTAAAAGTTGAAAATTCAAACCCCTAAATTGTTATCTCACACACACTATATAGCCCCACTTAAAATTCAATTGACTTGTTCAGAAACATCAGAAACACTAATTACCTTTTTTTTTTTAAAAAAAAAAACTACTCAAAAGAATCAATTGGCTGAAAAAATACTAAAAAATTAATTGGCTTAGAAACAATTGGCAAAAAAAAGGAATTTGGGCCGCCCCCCCCCCCCTTCCTTCTCTTCCCCTTTGGACCTTGAGTCAAATTGGCTTGGACTTGGGTCCCTAAACCATCCAGAGAAAGGAAGGGGCCCTGCTGCACCATCTCCCACAGCAACTCCCAGGCTCGTCCTTCACTCGACTTACCATCATGGGTCAACAGGGAACTGGGCGGGGGACCCAGTGAGACCACAGCACGGGAAGGGAGCATGAAAACCTCAACCTCACAAATAAATTTTAATTGGCACAACCCCCTCCCCCAAAATCTCACATCTCATCCCCTGCCTCAGAAGGCACACAGCAGCCCCCCGCCACACACACTGAACACTACCCTCAGCACATTGCATACACACACACACACACACACTCACACACACACACTCACACACACACCCTCACTCACACACACACACACACTCACACACCCTCACTCACACACACTCACACACACCCCCTCACACACACACTCACACACACTCACTCACACATAAAACCAGATGAAGCAGTGAGAATCCCTCACCAGCGCCCCTTGCACAGATCAGGCCTAGGTCCATCCCAAATTCTCTGAACTGTTTTCATGGTCCGAGCTCCCTTCCTGCCCACGGCTTCTGGGGCCAGTGCTGTGGGGCATTACATCTGCCTGGGGCGCACTGTAGGGTGGGAGATGGTGCGGCCCAGGCCCAGGCAAACGGTTCCATCCTTCCCCATGAGGGAGGTGCCTGTCCCCACGGCCCCGCTGCAGCGTGAGCCATCGTGGTCCCCAGACCCCACCAACGTCCATGCCCTGTCCTTGTGTGTCAGCCTGGCCGGAGTGAGGGACGAATCTGGCCAGATGGAGATGTGGAAGTCAGCAGTCATGCTCCCAGAGTAGCCAGGCCTGGGCGTGCATCTGGAGAGACCTGGGGGGACCCCCGGCATGCCCAGGAGACTGGCCCTGATGTGGGGAGTGTGGGAAGTCTGGCGGTTGGAGGGGTGGGTGGGGGGCAGTGGGGGCTGGGTGGGGGGAGCTCTGGGGTAAGAAGTGGTCCCGGGAGGTTTGGGCTGGATGTCAGGAGGAAAAGCAGTTGAACTTGCAGAATTACCAAGAGAAATTAGATCCCAAATTTTACGTCAATTGATCTTTTCCCCCCTTTGTTTCTTGGGGCATATTTTCCTTTTTTTTTTTTTGATCCCTCCTTAGCTTTTCATGCGCTCATCAATTAAATTACACCCTTTCCCCATAACAGGGGAGCAGTGACAAAGTATGGAGCCCTACCACCGGCACCGACACCTCCTGCTCCCCGCCATTTTTCACCCTTGATTTGATTTTTTTTTTAATCTATCCCTTTTGCTTGGGTTGAGTTGGGAGTGGAGCCTTCATGGGGTTCCGGCCACTGTGCCCCATGGAGAAGCCAGAGGGGAATTGAGAAGGCCGCTTCCCGGCCTGGCATCCGGGGACTGTGGCTGGTCCCTGGAGGTTCTGAGGAGCGGAGGAGGGCTGGGGCAGTGTCTCCTCAGGTGTCAGGAGGGTGCTCGGAGGCCACAGGGATGGGGCCCCCGGCTGGCCTGTGGCTGGCTGGGGGGGAAGGGGCTGCAGGTGTGTAAGCAGAAGGGCTCCATCTGGCGGGAGCAGGTGGCCGCCTTCCGCACACTTGGGGAACACTCCCCTCCCTCTGTGGCACCATACCCGCTCCTCAGCACCCCACCTTGTCCACAGGAGGTCCAGAGCTCTGTGGAATCTCCTTTGGTCAGGGTGGGGTGAGGCCAGGAAGCAGGGGAGGTCAGGAGGCTCTGAGCCCGCAGAGCAGGAGAGCTGGCCATCAATGGGGTCGCTTGGGCCCTGAGGCCCGCGGGTCTGGCAGTGCTGTGGCAGCCACCCACAGCGCCTAGGACTGTGGCAGGGACCTCGGGCGGCTGGAGGCCTACCTCACCCCCACTCCTGCCTCCAGTGCAGTCCCCCTGCACAGCAGTCCGACTAGCAATCTAGGGGCCTGAGGCTTCTGGGCCCTAGCGACAGGACTGGCATGACCCTGGGGGCGGTCCGTGCCAGCCCGACCTCAGCACAGAGGGTCCCTCAGCTAGTGCCTGGAGAATGGGCCATTCGGAACATTGGACAGAAACCAAAGCGCAAAGTTGTTTTGATTGAAGAGTCGGATTGGCTGAGATCCAAAACACTGCGAGGCACCCTAAATTCCCTGCCCGTTCGGTGGGACACCCACCCACAAACAGTGTTATGTTTCGCCTCGCTGGGATGGGTGCTCCTGGGGTACTTGCACTCTGCCCTCTGTGTCCCCTAATGTATGGCTCTCCCTGGGTCGCTGGCCATCCTGACCCGGGCACCCATCTGGCCTCCCGTGCCCTAGTGTGGTCCTCCATCTTGTCTCTTCCCCCACATCCCCCCCCCCACCGTCCTCAGCCGGACCCCCCCCTTGGGTCCCCCCCTTTCCCACCCCCTGAAGACCCCCCCACGCGACGAACACCTGTGTCACCTTGCCGCCTGTGTTGGTCCATCATGCAGCGGCCCTGTGTTTGCCTCAACTTGACCCCTTTAACATGCTAATATTTCTGGCAAAATCCAGTGCTTGGGTTTTGTCTCTAACCTGTTATCGCTCGCAATCCCAATAAAGCATTTAAAATTATTTTCTGAGTTCTTCCCATTTTTACTGGGGAGGGGAGGGGAGGGAAGGGCGAGGATGATTGGGGAGGAACAGGGCAGGGGGTTTGGAGGGGAGGGAAGGCCTCAGAGGTGTGGACCTCTTGGTCCCCCCAAATCACATAAGGACAGGGTGGGACTCCCCCTGAAGCTGGGGGCTGGGACAGTGTCAGGCACCCACTGTGAAGTGGGGGAGGGCTGTGGGCTTTTCCAAGGGAAGAGTCAAGGGTCATCATGTGAACCCCAGGGTTGGGGACGGGGCTAATCACCTGGAAGGGCTTCCCTGCCTATTCCTCTCCTGGACCCCATCCCACCACACAAAAGGGGGCAGGTCCCCAAGCTCAGGAGGAGGTTGTAGCTGGCACCAGATGCTTGAAGGCTGGACTGGCCTCTACCCCCCATGGTGGGAGAGGGGCTGGGCAGCCTTGAGAGGGGGTTCCACAGTGAGAAGGAGCCTCCCTATTCTCAGAGTGTCTGGTTGGTGTGGCCTCACACCCTGGCCCTGGGGACTCCACTCGTCTGCTTTTCTTACTGACTGGGTGCTGAGCTGGCACCCAGCTGCGAGGGTTTGCAATGGCATGCACACTGCCCAGGAACTCCTCTCAGACCCCCTTGGGGTGAGCAGTGGTCAGAGGGGGCTGCTGGAGGGGTCAGGGTCAGCCTTGAGGGTGAGGAGGACTGGGGGTTGGATCTAGAAGGCAGCGGGCCCCTCTTGAGGCAGCCCCAACCAGGCAGAGGGGAAGCTGGCGTGGGACCCTGCTCCGTGGGCCGAGGTGGTATTAGCCCAGCTCCCACAGTTGCCTCTGAGACCCTTCTGGGTCTGGTGGGGTGGAGGCCCAGCCCTGAGCTGCCCTGAAGCCACTTGCAGATTTTCCCCACTAGCCCCACACCAGAATCTCCTGAGGCCCACCTTAGTCCTGACTAGACCATCGTCCTTGGCCCCTGAGCTGCCCAGGCCTGAGTGGAACGGGGGTCAGGGTCTCTGGGCTCCAACCCCTGGCCATTTTTCCCCAGGCCTGCTTCTCCCGGACCTGCGGCCCTGGGTCAACTCAATATTGGCATTTGCTGCACCCCCTGCCCTCTCTAGCTGCCCCTGCCCCATCCCAGGGGCTCTCCTGGCAGCTGCCTCACTCCTTCCCCCACCCCTGTTGGCACTGACTTCCTCGAGACCCCATGACGTCCCCTGACCTCCCCCAAATCCTAGGGATAACCCACCCCTTTGCCCAATTCCCTGGGTCAGTCCCGTCTCTCAGCAGCGTCCTCTAGGCTCACCCTGCCCTCACCGACTGGGCTTGGCCCAGCCCCTCCCAGGGTGTCTAGGACTGCCTAGGGCCCTCTCTTCTCTGTCTCTTCTCTGCAAATTCTTGGTTTTATCCAGAATCTGCACCCACCCATCCATTCATTCACCCACCCACCCCCCACCTGCCTATCTCTCCATTCACTCACCACCCACTCACCCATCTACATATCCACCTATCCACCCACCCATGCACCCACCATCCATTCATTCACCCCCCTATCCACCAAACCATCCACACCCCCAGTCACCTATCTACTGTCTTCCCTCCCTCCCTCCCTCCTTCTGTCTGTCCCTCCACCCTTCCATCCAACCAGCCATCCAGGCATCTAGCTAGCTAACCATGGTCCACCCATCCACACCAACAGATGGGCACCCCTCTATGCAGGACGCTCCAGGCTGGGAGATGAGCACCTGCTGTGGAGGGGCCGGGAGGCTCTTTGGAGCTGGGCAGGCCCTGAGGAGAAGCTGACCCTGGAGAAGAGACCTGAAGAGGCGAGGAGGTGTGTGCACTGTGGGAGAGTGTGACGTGGGTGGGTCCGGACTGTCAGAGCAGCACTGGGGCAGGGTGGGGCTGCAGCAGAGGAGGGGTCCAGTATAGGTGGTGAGGTCCAGTTGGATCAGGGGCCAGGGGCCAATGCCATTAACCCAGCAAACACAGACCACTCCCACAGTGAGATGTCTGGTAGCCCTCAGAAAGACACACACACATCCTGACTCTGAGTCCCATGAAGGTGACCTTATTTAGAGAAAGGGTCTTTGCAGAAGGATCTTGTGATTAGGTCTTCTTGGATTTAGAGAGGGCCTAACTCAAATGACAGGCATCCTTGGGCCAGAAGAGGGAAAGTTCACACAGGAGCATG